CTCTCCCATCTTCTCGTTTGTCCTCTTGTGCTGCAGCAATGTCAGCTTGGCACTCACCATTGTGAATAGGGACATTGAATCTTGTGTACTTCATCCAGCCTACCCTCTGTAAACTAACAAAGCTTTTTGCTTTTATATGTCAAAAGCTTTGTATTGGTTTTGTTTTCCTCCTGGAATAAATGTTAAAGCAGCCTTGTCTGCTGGTGAAGATTTGCTCTCAGGAAACTGGTAATGAGATACGAAGGTACGTCTTCCTAGATCACGGATTCAAATCACATTTGGCTCAGGAGATACATGGCCTCATGACTTGATTGCTTATTCATAACGACTGGTGTGTGGGAGCAGAGAGGGGAGAGAACATCCTCTTCTGCAGCATTTGGTTTCAGTCTCGCTGTTGTGCAAGCTTATACCTTAATAGAGAGGTTAACCACTGGTATTTCAGTTGCTTTGGTGTGCTCTGGTGTGATCTTTCTAGAGCCGTTCTGACCTGTCTGCTCTCTCTTACGAAACCAGAGAGCTTCAGTGGCTGAGGCTGCTAGACTACTGCTTCAAGCTAAACTCATTTATGTGTTGTGCTTGAGCTTTTTTTAGGAGTCTACACGAACATTTTGGCAGATGGGAAACCCAGGCTTGAGAAATTGAAACACCTTGGCTGTAATCATCCTGTACCAGGCTTGAGCTCTGCCTGTAGGCCATGCTGTCTCTAAAATCCCTACCCCAAACCCAACTTAAATGGAAACAAGAGTCAAAAGAGTGGGCAGCTGTTACATTTATAGCCTGTACATGTTTGCAAGCACTACAGTTGTGTTTGTTCGCTGTACCAGAGTGTGTTGTGTGAAAATGACAGCACCCAACCTGTAAGGCTTCAGAAAATCTCTGGGTAGTTTGGGGCCAGTATTGCCTACAAGTGTCATCTTTCTGTACGAGCTGACAGAGGTGGCAGTCTCTGACTGTCCGCACTATCAAAAGGAGAGTAAAGCTTGCTGCATCAAACAGTGCAATAGTACCGTTTGTAGCAACTTGGCATGCAGATGGGAAGTTAGGTATGCAGGGAACTGATCTTTCTTGCTAAGAGTTTGCAGCTCTTAAAAAACAGTATAGCCTTGGCAAATGGGGTTGGTCTGTTGCCTTTCAGATGGAGAGAATGAAGCTGGATTCAAAACTAATGGAAGTTCAGACATGAAAAGGTGTTTTCCTTGACTTGCCTAGCAGAAATCAAGTGAAATGCCAAAGTAGACATTTGAAATCTGAGAAGATGCTGCCTGGGCTGTGGGCTCAGAGCTGGTTTTCAAACACGTGGTATTCCTACTGTGTTTATTCACATAATTGTTACTCGTAAACAGGAATTCTAGCTATCCTGATTGTTGGTTTAGGATAAAAGCTGCTTTCAGATTGGTTTGTTCAGTTTCAACTCCCTCCTTCTGGAAGTTTGCTGTGAAGACTGACATATTAAAATACCCAGCACATTAAATGACAGCTTTGGCTTGTTTTTTTTTTCCTGTTGTCTGGATAAGACTGTAGTATTGTAGGGTACTGTTTATTGTCATAAAATGACTTCATTTGCGACCCACCAGAGTAGCAGCCTGATATGTGAAGCTTTTTCCTTCATTCTAATTATTCGTTATGTTTTATGATGTTTGGTTTCTGGAAAAACAGTTTACCAATGTTCATTTTTAAAAACAATTTGTGAGGATTTGTGACATCCTGGTATCAACACCAGAAAAAATAAACTCGTATATGAAACTATCAGTCGCCTTAAATTGATGGGTTTGTTTCTGTCCTGAGGAAAAATGGCCACAGCTGTATGAAATACGTCAGCTGACTAGCTCTTCATCACATGAGAAAGTTCTGGTTCCAGTAATGGCTTTAGAATTCCTCAGAAGTGAAATATGTGTCATCTGGGAAAACTTCCTTCTCCTGCTTGCTTTTTTTTAAAAATAAATTTAATAACCCATTTTGTTTTCCAAGGTGCTTTGAAATCTAGGAAGCTGGAATTATTTCTTTACCATTTACAGATTTTAAAATGAGGTTCTTGTTTACAGCATTAGTTTTAGGACTAGGAAAACCTTGCCAGAAGACTGGATTTGCAGGGGATGGGGCCCTGGTTGGGAAAACTAGGGGTTTGTGGTGGTTATTCTCCTGTCAAGTGTGATTGAGATGGAGTGGGATTGCCGTATTGTCTGTCTGGTTTTAGTGACGCTTATAAGTAGTAGCTGTGGGACGTCCTGAAATCTTGTTACAGCCATGCTGAGAGAACTTAGCAGAGTCCTGAGCAGCAGCAGAGACATCCTGAGCCTTCAGAGAGGTAGCTTTGAAGATGGTAGCGGTTAGTTTGAAGTATATGGGATATATTCTGATTTTGTACTATGAATGCTAAAAACTGCATGGAAGTCATATCTATGTTTATGGGCCGAACTGTTCAGCTTTCCAAGTAAAATTTTCTTTTATTCTCTTGGCAATTAAATGAGATGATTGGCCAATTCCATTATGAATGAAAAGAGAGGGAGACAACATTCAAAGTCTGTTTTATTTTGTTTTTTCTTCTTATGGCATTTAACTTATCTCTTAGCCTTTAAAGGCAATGCCGAAGTAAATTGTGATGCCTCTTAGCCATCTCTCATTTTTGGAGACCAGCCATACACAAATGATTGCACTCCTATCTCCCTGTACACATATAATTAAATCTGGCCCTGCAGTGGAAGAGAGAGAGACTGAGAAAGCTCTGGGCAGGAGCAGAGGCTGATTAATACGGATTATTAGAGATTGCTGATTGAAAGCCTGCAGCTGGGATTGCCATAGTGGGGAGAAGGGAGCAAGGTCTCAGTGCTTGTAATGGTGTCTGCCAGGTCTTGTCTTCAGTGGACTCTAACAAAGGTGTTTTCTGTGCTATCCTGCATCTCAGAATCAACCACTATGCCCCGTCACCCTTCTGTGCTTCTTAAAGGAGGGGTTACTTCTGCCATCCCTGACAGATACCAGCCTTGGCTCTTACCATAGCAGTTTATACCTTGAAGATGAGCTGGCAGGTTTTCCTGAGCTCCTCCCCAAAGCTGTGTGGTTGACCGAGAAGCTGACCTGACAGGTATAATTTAGTTTTGTTCTCTTGTTTCTCTTTAACAGGCGACTGCGATGTCAGTGGATTGCCTGGGACAGCGCGCAGTACTCTCAGGGTGAGTGTGACAGTCCCCATTAGAAATGTATGACAGTCATTTCCACAAGCCACATCAGCAACCTTCAGGCTGACCTCAATTGAAGGGCTGATGTATTGTTTCAGAAAGGTACAGCTGAATTCTTTTCGAGGCTTGATGAAAAGGATTCTGGGTCACATTTCCAATGGGATACGGAGTGGAACGCCAGCAACAACAGCACAATAAAACACTGTCGTGGCTTTCCTAATACGTGCTTTCCCAAATCCACTTGTGGGAGGTGGAACATCATGAAGTACTGTTTGGATTCTGCTTGAAATACATATTAAATAATTTCCTTAAGATAAAATTTGCCCCAAACATTCCCATGGTGTACTTGGGCAGAGGAGCCAAGCTCTCTGACCTGCTCCTCTCCTGGTTCAGCACGGGATGATACTCCACAAGAGCAATAGGTGATGTAGACTCCAAGCTGCCAGAGCTCCCAGGAGGGCTTGGTGTGACGTAGCCATCTCCACAGCAAGTCTTCAAACAGCTCAACAGTCGCCTGCCCAGCTGCCACCTTTCAATACTAAGAGCTATTCCTGTCCCACTGTCAGTGACACGATTACCACACCAATTAGGATGTTCACTTCAAATTCAGGATCACATGGGTGCAGCTGACCTTTGGTCAGTCTTAGAGGAAATGGGTCCTTTGATACAACTTGGAAGGTCTGCTTGCTTCTGTGTGAACCCTTAGTCCATGGCCCTGCGTGCCAGAATAACTGGCTCAGCAGCTGGTTTGAGTCTCAACTTGATGCCTCTTGCTCTTTATGGTTGCCCAGTTTCACAACTTGCTTATGTGGGCCAACATCAAGCTGGGGACAGCCTGTCTGCGATTCAACATCACGTCTGTGGCACTCTGCTTTTCAAGCTTCTCCTCCATGCTCAGCAGCCCTTCAGGATTTGCCTCCTTTCTTTAAGGCAGCTGTGTGAGAGCCTCAAAGGGCTCAGCATCTTCAGCTTTCAGAGCAGGGACCCCTGAGGACTTTGGTCTGGAAGGGCAGCAAAGATGTTCTTTATGTTCCTTCTCTTGGGAAAATTCACAGCGCTCGGAGCAGCTGCCTGCTTGCTACGCAGCTGACATCTGTGATGCTGGTGTGGTTAATTATGTATGGTTCAATATGTTTTAGTACTGGTCTTCCATCAGAGTTCAGCTGGCTCACAATTATTTCTGGACGGTTTATCTTGCTTGTAAGATGAATCACGCAGTGGAGGGAATGATACCTTGCCTGGCTTTGTGGGGAGTTGGTCACATCCAGCAGGATATATGAGCTCAGGTTTAGCATCATGCAATTATATCTCTGCTGCATATAGGATTAGCTCAGGTAAGTAATGTCACCAGATCAGTGCAGTGCTGTGTCCACCCACATTAATAAGCTGCTGCAGCTGAGCTAGCTCTATGCAGGTGTACTATACTGTCTGCGGAACCAAGCCCCCCAAACTGTGCAGTGTGGAAAGATGCAGCCACGTAGAATCATCTTATGTTTGTCAAGGCTCATTAACTCTTGCTGAGAGCAACCTCTCCAGACTGAAGCTGGCTCCTGCAAAGCCACTGTGTTGCACTCCCAGCCCTGAGCCACCTCAGCTCTGTGGCTGCAGCATTAGGCCAGCAAAGTGTATTTGGATGTGTTTGCACCATTTCCCACCGCTTCCTTTTGTATCCTAGTTATCTGGGGTTTTCCGTGGTCTGAGCTACCCATTGCATTTGCAGATCCTGTCTTATTTCAGTGTCTTTTTTTTTTTTTTCTTTTTAACATAGCCCTCTTTGAAGTATGTGGTCGAATGTAGTGTTCTCAGGAGTAGTATTTTCATCCGCCTTGTCAAACGCTTCTCTTCTTTGGTTCTCTAGGCACAAGACTGCGGTCTCTGTGTAAGCTTGGGGTTTTGAGATCAGTCCTGTGTGATACAGCCTCTTTATGTCTGTGTGTCTTGCAGCCGCCGCTTCCTCTACATAGTCAACCTGGATGCACCAAATGAGGGTCATCGAAAGATCTCCCGACAGAGCAAGTGGGACATTGGGGCAGTGCAGTGGAACCCGCACGACAGCTACGCATACTACTTTGCAGCTTCGGTAAGTTCACTCATTTAAAAGCTGTAACTCATCATCTTCCCCGGTCTTTCACGGGTGGACTTCTGCAGACTTGGACGGCTGTATGTATGGAGCTGGCACTGGCATGCTTCTGCAAGTCACATTGCAAGATCAAGGCTTAACTCCGGTTTACTGTCAGTGAGGTATTTGGCTTGATGGCTGTCAGTTATTGGTCAGTCAGTGTTGAATCTAGTTTTGCTTGCTTGTCTTTTATAAAACACCTCACCAAGTAGATCAGTCATCCAAATGGTCCTTTTCTGGAAGGAAGGGGGGTTGTGCTCTCTTTCTGACTTCCATTCGGTTATGAGATTTGTGCACTTATTGAATTTCTTGCTCTCTGCTGTTTTGTTTTCACCTCCTTGCCTTCCTGGTGGGATGTGGTGCACCAGGCAGTCTGTAAATAGCACGAGTCAATACTGTCTCACTGCTGTAACAGTCTAGGTTTGCAGGTGGGCAGGGACCAAGGCAGTGAGAGGTTCTTAGTCAGTGTATGGAGAAGTAAATAGGCTGGTCTGAAGAAGCAGTAGTGGCCATCTGAGACTTGAGTGCAGTTTTTAGCTCTGATCTTTACTCAGTCTGTCATGCTCTGTAGCTTGTTCACCCAGAGCCCTGAGCTTCTGCTAGCAGCAGTCTTAGCTGTGAACCCCAGTGCTGCAGCAACTGGCACTAGCTGGCTGCAGACTGTTCTCATGGTGAGGTGCCTTTGCTGCCATATTGCGTCTGTTTTTATAGCCTGAGGGTCCTGAAATAGCTGGGGCTGGAGAGGTTTAATCTATTTTTTTGAGAAAACACCTAGCTGAAGGTGGTTTATTGGGATTTTTGTTCCTTTTGCTTCCTGGACTGGCTATGACTGAAATTAAAGGCAGTCATAAAAGTGGACCAGAGTTGTCAGTTAGGAGCATTTGCTTATTTGCTCTCTGACAACAGTGTGTCTCCACCCAGCTCTGGCATATGACTGACATCTTAAAGGTGCCTTCAGCAGCTCTCTGTTTCTGAGTGGAGAGTTAGTAAAACTTGCAAAAAAGTGTCCTTCAGTGCCACTTCTGGAGAGTCTGTGAAAATGGAAACTAAATAAGGAAATGTGCTGTGCAGGCCACAAGTAGAGCAGGAAAGCTTATTTTCAAACACACTCTGAAGGCACTATCCAGTGATCGGTTAATGCTGATCTGAGCAGGACCCTGCTGCAAAGGGGAGCTGTGCCTGTCTCACCATCTGAGTACTCCTGTCTCCTGCTGCCCTGAGTGGACACAGGAAACTGCCTTGTTCCAGACTGAAACTAGGTGTAGCTGCCATAAAACCTTGCTGCTCCTGTTTATAAATGAAGATGCTAAGATGATCTGGTCGTTTAGACATAGTTGCTGACACACATCAGATGAGGAATCGGCAAGATGAGATCAGGCAGCTTTTCCAGTTTGGGACAGAAACATCTCTTTTCCAGCCATCTCCCAGTTGGCTGGTATTTTGGTGCTGAGCATTACAGCCTCATCCTAGGACTAGAATTTAGCCTGTCTTTTCTAGAAGTGGAAAGCAGATTTACAGTGTATGCTCAGGTCTGGGTGTCCCAGGTCTGGTCTGCAGGCAGTGTGGATGTGTTTGAGGGCCACACCTAAGGGGGCAAAGATGGACTGAGAAGGCTAAATCAGCTTGGATTCAGCACTGTAAAGATGTGACTTGCTATTTCTGGACTCAAGCTGGCTGTCAATCCCCCCATCAGTCCACTGTTGAGGTCGTCGTATGTTCAGGTATGCCACGTAGGTGTTGTAGACAGCCCTGAGGGTCCTATCCCTCTGTGTCCCTGTGGATGGAAAGGGAGTGTAAAAGGCTACCACCCTGTTTGCCATGCTGTTAATTCGAAGTGGTGTGGGCAGAGGGAAAGTCTGTCCTTGTGTTTGGATAAGGGCTTCTTATTTTTTTAGCTTCTTTCCAAAAGAGCTGAAACACATCCTCCTGCTGTGCTTGGCTGTGTCTGCCCTCTGGCTCAAGCACATTTCTAAGGACTCCTAAGCTGTTGTTTCAGAAATGCTATTGTTTTTCATCCTAGATCCTCATTACTTCTTTTGTGTGGTCACAAATGCTTGAACAAGAGGCTGATGAAATTGTTGGAAGTGTATACTTGTCAGGAGAAGCATGTTTTTTAGAAAACACTCCTGATGGGAGGAGCTGTCATTCCCCCACACATGGTGCTGTGGGCAACACTTTCTGTGTGAGATGCCCCACTGAGAGTCTGAGTGATTACTTCTGGTGATCCTTATCTTGTAGCATCAACTCTGGAGTCCTGGACAATCCCCGTTGGGTAATTTGACCCTACCCCCTTAAATCCTTCTGTCAATGAGAAACACACAAGGAGTTTTCCTTGCCCCAAGCTGTTGTGCAGCCCTGCCGTGAGCTATTAGAGAAATGCCATATATTATTGCTGAGCTGGGAGGAGACCTTCCATTTCAGGGAAGGCTGGGTTGTTTTATCCATCTGCAGGTTCAAATTCATATGAAGAAGTTTTGGGGTAAAAAAAAAAAAAAAAACCACAACAAAACAAAACAGAAACACTACCACAGAAACCTGTCATAAAAAAAGTGAAATATGTCTTTTCTATGTTATCTTCTCCCTCATCTGCCTGTAAGTTTGAAAACAAGACACTAATGAAGATTAAAATTTTTGAAGTCATGTTATTTCTGTTCTTGCAAAATCAATGCGAATTTCCAGTCATGGCCCAAGACCCACTGTGCTTGGTGCTATATATGCACCCAAAAAGGCAATTCCTACCCCAGGAAGATTAGAGTCGGCCTGGGCTATGATTGAGGCACAGCATGAACTTAAAGCACAATCACTAGTTTCAAGTAACTTTGTGTGTGGCTGTGTTTGGGGGAGGATTTATTCCTGGAATGAGTGAAGAAGCCCTAAATAATGTTGTCATTGATTCATCTGGTTTGCTCCTTGGTTTACAATTAGTGATAAGCACTTAAGGCTTTTTTTTTCCTGGGTTGGCAAGGATGGAAGTACCCTTGAGGAGATGACCTTGAGGCCATTAGACTGTATTGTTCGTGATTGGCAATGGCCTTGATTATCCCAGAAGAGAATAGAGGGAGAGTTGAGGAGAACCAGTGGTGATCCATCATCCCCCCTCACTGAAGACTCAGTTGTGAATCTGAACAGACTGGCAGGGTATTCCTGCAGAGAGAATCTGGCTGCCTGTTGCCTGCAGTTACAGCATGTTGTTAGGAAACAAAAGCTCTGAGAACATCATTTCATGGAAACATTTTGCAGTATGACTTTTTTTTTTCCTTCCCATTCTTGTTTATCTCCAATTTTAAGTGGGTGTAATTAAAGTGTAAGCTTTCCAGAGCCCTCACAGCCTGTGGGTTCATCTTTGCTCTTCTGCTTTGGGCAAAGACTTTGCTAATCACAGTGTGACTCATTGGTAAATGAGGTTGTTCAAAGTGAAGGGAACCTGGTCCTAACACACAGATTGCTGTCTTATGTCATTTGCCTGAGACTGTCTCCTTTCTTCCATTTAATTTCAGAGCAATCAGAGAGTTGACCTGTATAAGTGGAAGGATGGTAATGGGGAAGTTTGCACATCGTTGCAAGGACACACACGTGTGATCAGGTGAGGAACAAGTGATGCTGTGGACTGCTGGGTGGTCCTGGCCCCGCTCAGGGTCTGTCCTGAGCCTCTTTTTACTCACTTTTCTGGACTGTACTGCCTTCCCGTTTGGAGACAACATCACGTGTGAAGCAGCTCACCCGCTCATGGCTCCCCCCAGTATTATCAACTAAGCCTTTGATGGCTTGAGTGTCATTGCCGTAGGCTGCTGTCCTTGTAATGAGCAGCAACCGTCAGCTGGGAAACAGGTAGCAGCATGTTTATTGGATTGAATCCCAGCTGTGTTTCTGTGTGATAGCAGCTTCATTAAAGAGGTAACCCCAAAGATCAAGCTCACAGTGCGTTATGGTGGTGCAGGGGAGATTTCTGCCTCTGGTTCTAGGGGTTGTATTCCAGCGCTGGGCTGGAAATTCAGGTGAAGGACTGGTTTTACTCCAGCTCCTGACTGTGGAATGTAACTGCAGCCCTTGAAATGGCTAACTGGAGGCTGTTCGTTCCCAACAGGACGGCATCCCAGAGTGAAGGGTTGATGCCAAGAGTGTGGGGTAACTGGGAACTCACTGAGACAGTGTCCCTTTTAGTGTGGAGGAAAGAGCACACACACAATAGCTGTAAAGTTCAGGGCTAGGAGGATGCATCACTGGAATTTACTTAGAAGCCTTTCATTGCTTCTCGGAATTTACTTAGAGAAATGATTAAGATCTTGGTTTTTACTTAAAAAGTTTCAGTAGATGTCATGGAGTGGCCATGAATTTGTTGGAGAAATGTACTGGGGGCTTGTGAGAAGATGCAAACAGTGTATGCTTTTCTCAGCTGACCTACCTTCTGCATTTGCAGCGACTTGGACTGGGCGGTGTTTGAGCCAGACCTGCTGGTCACCAGTTCTGTGGACACATACATTTACATCTGGGACATCAAGTAAGAATCAGTGTGTTTATGCGCTGTGGGGAAATCATTGGACTCCTTCCCATAATTAGCAGCTTGCAGGGCAAAGCATGCCTTGATGGGTGCTGCTCTTCAGCTCTGCTTGCAGGGGCTTCGTCTGCTTCCCATAATCTCAAAGATGGCTTCTCTTCCTCTATTTTCAAGCCAGTTCAGAATCAATGAGGGATGGTAGAGTGGGATGGTTAAGCCACAGTTGTGCTCCCGATCGGAAAAAATACTGATTGGCTTCACTCAGTACTCATTTCACATCTTTTCTTGGGAGCTTTTCCTGGAACCCAAGGGTGATCCTCAACCTGTTAGGTTTTGTAGCTCAGCGAATGAGCACCATTTCATGATCCTGCAGCCATTTTCCACTAAATTCAGTGATTGTTGCTGGCTGTCCCTCCTCAGTGGGAAGACTAGCAGTGGTATTTGGGAACCTTTTCCTGTTCGGGCCTTCCCTTAATTCCTGGTGCTTTTTATTGTGAGTAATTTTAGGGTAACAGATCTTTACAAAAGCACCGATGTTATTAAGGCCCTATATCTTACACCTGAGAAGCAAGGAGCTGGCACTGGGACTGCGGGGTTCTCTTGCTGGCTGTACAACAACTCTTTATGACCCCCGGCAAGTCACTTTGTTCCTCTCTGCCTCCCTTGCTCAGTTATAATAGGAGGATAATTACATAACCCCACTGCACCAGGCTACCCTGAGGCTTGTTTAGCTCCTATGAAGCACTTAGATCCTTGGTTAAATGGTGCTTGAGAATGGCAATATATTATTAATGTGTAATTAAAAGAGAGAGAGACAATAACTGCTTGTTGTGTTTTCCTGTGATGCTATCTTAATGGCAAGCGAAAAATAGAGTTCTCTGTTATCAGAAGCCCTGCTTTAACTCTATTCTGCCCTTCCATCATTTTGTGTCTGTGTGTATCACTTGTCCAGAAATGCTTGCTTAGGCAGTCTGAGTAGCCTCTGCATCCCACTTGTGCTAGTAAGGTCTCTGAGCTTGCTGGGGCAGTGCAGTCCCGGGGCTGCTGGCCTCCAG